GGAGAGATAATTAAATTAACTATGATGTAGTTTGAAAATTAGACCAAAAAGGTTAACAAAGCTTTAATGGTATGGCAATAATAACAGTTTATAAACACAAAGCGTAAGGCACAGGTCAGTACAAAATAATTATCATTGTCTTGCGTTTAAATCACAGGACTAGACAAACTGTTGTTGAGAAAGGTGACTTGTTGGGAAAACATGACTTGAAGGCAAAAATTGCAAAGTGGAAGGATTTTTTTGGGGGAGGAGGAATGGTCTCGTGGTAAATGCCTCATTACTTCCCCATTTTATGCATTTTAAGTCTAACTAATGAACATCAATCTTGCTTTAATGTAAGTTGGTATAATGGATATTCTAATGCAGCCATAAAAATGAAAATATTGGGGCATAGCTGCGGGGTCCTTGGTGCTCTCTGAGCTTGGTTGTTTTCTTGCAGACGTTTCATCACCCAAATTAGATAACCTTATCAGTGCTAGCTTGGGAACATCAGAACTGGTGATGTCACCTAGTTTGGGTAATGAAACGTCTGCAAGAATACAACCAAGCTCAGAGAGCACCAAGGACCCCTCATTTCAACCCTGAACAACATGTATTCTCCTTTATGAAAAACCATTCATAATGTGAAATGTCTGTAATAAATTTAGTGAAGGTTCTGTGGCTTAGCCCCCCTGTTTAGCCCAGTGCCACAGTCAGAGGGATGAAACAGAATGAAAAAGACCAAACATAAAAAAACAAAACAAAAAAAAAACAAAGGGCACCAATTGCCATCTAATCCAAAGCCTAGCCAAAAAAAGAAAAAAACAGGTCTTCAGCCATTTGTAGAAGACAAAATGGTGGGAACAGTATAAATCAGGGGTCCTCAAACTTGGCCGCTTTAAGACTTGTGGATTTCAATTCCCAGAATTCCCCAGCCAGTTAGGAGTTGAAGTCCACAAGTCTTAAAATGGCCAAGTTTGCGGACCCCTGGTATAAATCAAGATCACGCAAAGTATTAATACCACTCTACAATGCCTTGGTAAGGCCACACTTGGAATACTGCATCCTGTTTTGGTCACCTCGATGTAAAAAAGATGTTGAGTCTCTAGAAAGAGTGCAGAGAAGAGCAACAAAGATGATTAGGGGACTAAAGATTAAAACATATAAGGAAAGGTTGATGGAATTGGGTATGTCTAGTTTAATGAAGAGAAGGATGAGGGGGGACATGATGGCAGTCTTCCAATATCTCAGGGGCTGCCACAAAGAAAAGGGAGTCAAGCTATTCTCCAAAGCGCCTGAAGGCAGGACAAGAAGCAACGGATGGAAACTAATCAAGGAGAGAAGCAACCTAGAACTAAGGAGAAACTTCCTGACAGTCAGAACAATTAACCAGTGGAACAACCTGCCTCTAGAAGCGGCGAATGCTCCAACAATGAAAGTTTTTAAGAAGAGACTGGACAGCCATTTGTCGGAAATGGTATAGGGTTTCCTGCCTGAGCAGAGGGTTGGACTTGATGACCTCCAAGGTCCCTTCCAACTTTATTATTATTATTATTATTATTATTATTATTATTATTATTATTATTATTATTATTATTATCATTCATCGCACAGTCAGCCAGATGTTCAGACTGGATTTGGCATTTTGTCTACCTATCGAGTCCTTACCCAGGACCTGGGATAGGCAGATGTGGATGTTTGATGGTATTACAGATATCGTCGCAGGATGGAAGCAGTTCCTAATAAGGCCGCCTTTTGCAATTGACTAATAGCGAATTTGTCAATGCCAATGGTGTTCAAGTGGTGCTCCAGTTGTTTTGGGATTGCACCCAAGGAGCCTATGACTATTGGTACTACCCTTGCTTGCTTTTGCCACAGTCTTTCTATTTCTATTTGTAGGTCTTTGTATTTTGTTATCTTCTCCAGTTCTTTCTCTTCTATTCTGCTATCTCCAGGCACTGCCACATCCACTATCCAGACTTTTTTGTCTTTCTTATCGACAATTGTTAAGTCTGGGGTGTTATGTTGCAGTGCTTGTCTGTTTGAATTCTGAAGTCCCAGAGCAGTTTAATTTTATCATTTTTTTATCATTATTATTATTAATATTATTAATATTATTATTAATCCCTCTGGAAACCTCTTCCCTCCCCCCCCAATGTGAAGTTGGCCCCAACCCTCCTATCCTTTCCTAAGAGCCTAAAGACCTGGTTCTGCCAGTTGGTCTGGGGCCCCAATGGGGAAACAGCACACATCTCCCTATTCTTCCCCTGCCCTCTCTCCTCTCACACGTGTCCTTGCTTTTAATTTAAGTTGCTAAATGAATGGTGATAAGTCAAGGATTATCTGTACATTCTCCTCCACCTCCAATAATAAAAGTCAGCTTAAGAAATAGCAACTGTTAAAAACAGGGCAAATGATTTAAAAGCTCTCAGGCACTCCAGCAATAAGAAAATAGCTAAATTTGCCAGACAAATTTTAGCACAGTACTACGAAATCTGATTAGGAACCAAGTCCTAATAGCTTTGTTGGAAAGGTCAGGCAAGCAAGCAACATCACAAATTGGTAGCTGGCAAGTCAGAGCACGGAACACTTTTGCCTGGAAAAGAAAAAAAAAACACAGTCACATTTTATTCCTCTGATTCCTTGATTCTCAGGATGGTCACCTGTCAGGCATGGTCTAAGCAGGTATGTCAAACTCGCGGCCCGCAGGCTGCATCCGGCCTACGCAGGCCACACCCACTCCAGCACCGCAAAGGCGAAAAACTCCTGATACATCACTATATGACACACATTGTAATCGGGCTTGATACCCCTGGTCTAAGGGATCCTGTACTTCAATGTCAATTCCAACTCTTTGATCCTACCATTTATGAATGGCACTTTCATTTTAATCCCCAGAATAACCATTCACTGTTCTTTTTTTAACAAAAAAATTCAACTTTTAATTACTTTCTATGTCCAGATTATTTGAGGTCACAAAAGCAGCTTACCAAAGGAACAGAGAACTTTGTGTTGGTCATTTGATCGGAAGCAACGTGGTGTAGCTGTGAGTGACCGTTTTTTTTTTAAGAAGAGCTGTAATCCAACTTTTCTCAGCCCTGCAACAGAATTTCTTATCTTCTGGAGGCGGACTTGCAAAATTAATTCTTTTTTCTAAAATATAGCTAGTATTGGCGAATAGCCAACTGTGTATCACAGTGCAAGAAGTCAAGGTCATCCATTGAAAGTAAAAACCACAAAATTTAGGACCAAAAGAAGGAAATGCTTTTCACATGGGGTATAGTGAAGGTGTGCAGTTCACTGCCAGGAGTTGTAACAGCAACCAATTTAGATGGGTTTAGAGAGGGACTGGACAGATTGATAAAGGATCAGCCTATCAATCGCTATTATTAACAGCCATTAACAAGCACACATAGATAAACAACATCTACATAACATTGAAAAGGGACAAGCAAAAAGCAAAAAAAGGGAAACAGACCAAAATACTAACACTAACAATCATTGCCCCAAGGCCAAAGGTCTGGGAATGGAAGTGCAACATCTCACCATCAAGCCTGCCAATGTAGGGACCACTAGCAAAACAAATCCTTTGAATGTAACTGGACAATAAAGAGATAGCATGGAGGAGGAACAGGAAGTGGAAAGTTAACTAGGAAACACAAACATTAGTTCTGGCTTTGGTGTATTGTAACCACTTGGTTTTTAGTAAAAGTATACTTTTCTCACAAATGGAGGTGAGGGTCTTTCTTTCCTAAGAAATCAAGCCGGGCAGGTGTGACGATTTGACAGACTCTCGGTCCCAGTTTGGGGCTGATGTTCATTATGGATTACTGCATTTGTATCCTGCCTTTCCTTCAAGAAATTGACAATGCTAATGCTCACCTCTCCCACACACCTGCTTTTGAGCCTGGGTCTTTACATTTTCTATAGGCAATGCTGTATTATTTCCACCACATTACTTTAGACAAGCTGAAACTTGTCAAGAGAATTCTGTGGGAACTCCATCCTTGTCAGCTTCAGGAACAAATGTAGGTTGACAAGATAGTAGTTCACTGCTTTGGAAAGGAGAAGGTAGCCTATCTGTGTGCACCTTAGGGTTGTTGTTGTTTTTTCCTGACAACCTCTTGTTGAAAAATACAGCTGCAGTTGGTTCTTATGCTGTCACTTGAGGCAGCTGCATTGTGCCCTATAGTGCCTCTGTCCCGTGGTAAACCTTTTCAGTGGCATCATCAGGTAAAGATGTGTAATCCCTTCTAGTCAATATTAGACTTCAGTCAAAAGTAGATGGGGACTCTACTTAATAAAGACATCACAAGAATTTTTGTAGGATTTCATCTCATTAGATGATTTCCAGTGACAAGCTTCATCCAATTTTCTAAGAGCTTGAAGGGCAACTTGGGGAGTTGATGTCTGACTTTTGGGTTCCTTATGGTTCTCAAAGTAAAATATTTTTTTCCAATTATGTCCTCCCCTTAATGTCACCAAAATTCTCCTCAACTTTAAGAAAATAAAAAATTACCTGGAGACCTCCTTCATCTTCTGCCTTCCCCGTAGGAATGCCCTCCAGCTGTGAACCATAATTTGTGGCCAGTATGATCAAAAATTCTCTTTTTATGACTCTGTAATCCCTTAATTTTGGGTAGAGTCAGGGCAATTGGATGGAGCTGAGTGTTTACTGCCCTTCCTGACACCACAAGGAGTTCGCAGCAGATTTTTTTCCTTTCACTCTAGGCGAGAAATATCTGCTGCGACCTAGGATTGAAGTCTCAACTTTCCGAATGGGAGGTGAGCGTCTTTATCACTAGTCCACCATGCTGCTCATGGCCAGTAGGATCAACAGATAGTCATGTAATTTAGGAGTGAAGAGAATTAAAATGCTGGAAGGCATCAGTTTGGTAAGACTGGACAAGATGACCCAGGAGATTCATCCACTGGTCTCTAGGAGTTGGATTCTATCCATCTGTCTCCCATTCTTGAGGACCATTTGATTGATCCTGTTGTCATTTCTACCTTGTGTGAAGGAACCTATGTGATGACAGTGACGGCCAACGATGCTGATGACAGCACCACAGCAAATGGGATGGTGAGGTACCGCATTGTGACTCAAACTCCACAAAGTCCATCCCAAAATATGTTTACCATTAACAGCGAGACTGGAGATATAGTGACAGTTGCCGCAGGACTCGATCGTGAGGTAAGGGATCAACTTATTTAATTAACAAATAGTCCCCACTTTATAACTACAGGTAGTCCTTGACTTACAATCATTCATTTAGTGACTGTTCAAAGTTACAACAGCACTGAAAAAAAGTGATTTATAATTGTTTTTCACACCTACAACAATTGGAGCGTTCCCCATGGTCAGGGGTAGGCAACCTTGGCCCTTTTATGACTCGTGGACTTCAACTCCCAGAATTCCTGAGCCAGCCGTGCTGGCTCAGGAATTCTGGGAGTTGAAGTCCACGAGTCATAAAAGAGCCAAGGTTGCCTACCCCTGATCATGGTCATGTGATCAAACTTTGGAGACTTGGCAACTGGATCATATTTATGACTGTTGCAATGTCCTGGAATCACATGATCACCTTTTGCAACCTTCTAACAAACAAAGTCAAATGGGAAGCCAGATTCACTTAACAGTCATGTTACTAACTTAACAACTGCAGTGATTCACTTAACAACTGTGACAAGAAAGATTGTCAAATGTGGCAAAACTCCTTTAAAAAATTGTCTTGCTTATTAACAGACATTTTGGGCTTATTTGTTGTGGTAAGCTGAGGACTATCTGTATTTTTTTCCTCTCCAAAGTAGATTAACTTGGTCCGTACAAGGTGTCTTGTCGAAGAGTAGTCTCAAATAAGGATATTTTAAATTCTAATGTTTCCTTAAGCAAATGTGTCTTATATGTTCGTTTGCTTTTTTGTTTGGTTGTTGTTCTTTTCTGATTTTCTTTACTATGTTGTATCATCTTTAAGTTTTTGTTTCCTTGAAAAAAGCAAGAAAGGTCAAATTAAAAAATAGATAATAACTGAGCTCCCTGTGGTCTTCAACCCTTCCTCCTTGCCCAAAGTCCAGCATATGCTTAAGGTGCTTCAAAAAAGTCTGATTAGGGATTGTGGGCTATTTGAAGATTAGGAGCATATGGCAGGCTGCATATGCTCTTTTAAATTAGGATTGTCTGCCAATTAAGTATTTATTCTTTTACTCAAACAGTAAAGCCTGAACAAAAAGCTGACCTTCATCTGTGAATTTTAACTGTACTTTGGTGTTGCAGAATGATAAAGCAAACAATTTAGTAGAGGAATAGCAATAGATGTGAAACAATTTCTTCATTTTTCCTGCTTTTCTTCTGTTATCTATCCCCTAGTGTCTTCTTCTTCTTCTCCTTCTCCTTCTCCTTCTCCTTCTCCTTCTCCTTCTCCTTCTCCTTCTCCTTCTCCTTCTCCTTCTCCTTCTCCTTCTCCTTCTCCTTCTCCTTCTCCTTCTCCTTCTCCTTCTTCTTCTTCTTCTTCTTCTTCTTCTTCTTCTTCTTCTTCTTCTAATAGTAAAGTTGGAAGGGACCTTGGAGGTCATCTAGTCCAACCCCCTGCTCAGGCAGGAAATCCTATACCATTTCAGAAAAATGGCTGTCCAATCTAAGATCCAATGTTAGAGCATTCACCACTTCTGGAGGCAGGTTGTTCCACTGGTTAATTGTTCTAACTGTCGGAAGTTTCTCCTTAGTTCTAGGTTGCTTCTCTCCTTGACTAGTTTCCACCATTACTTTCTTCTTCTTCTTCTTCTTCTTCTTCTTCTTCTTCTTCTTCTTCTTCTTCTTCTTCTTCTTCTTCTTCTTCTTCTTCTTCTTCTTCTTCTTCTTCTTCTTCTTCTTCTTCTTCTTCTTCTTCTTCTTCTTCTTCCTTCTTCTCTTCTTCTTCTTCTTCTTCTTCTTCTTCTTCTTCTTCTTCTTCTTCTTCTTCTTCTTCTTCTTCTTCTTCATCATCATCATCATCAAGTTGGAAGAGACCTTGGAGGTCATCTAATCCAATCCCCTGCTCAGGCAGAAAACCCTTCTCCTCCTCCTCCTCCTCCTCCTCCTCCTCCTCCTCCTCCTCCTCCTTCCTTTCTTCCTCCACCCATTTTCTCCCTTCCTCTTTCCTCTCTACTCTCTCTATCTCCCTTCCTTCTTCCCTTTCCCTTCCTCCTTTTACTTTTCCTTACATTTTCTGACAATACCCAAGCTACATTTTCTGAATTTTTCTTTTCATAATCAGCATATCCTGTTTTTCCTATCCTAAAACTAAAAAATGGAGGGGGGGGAAGGAATTAAGTTTCCTTTTTCAGGATTTCCAGAATCCTGCCTCAAAGTTTGAAAGCCATAGCTCTGAAGAGCCCAATCTGATTAGTGCAGAGAAGCTTGTCCAAAAGTCCTCTTTTTCATAGGGGCCAAACAAGTTGTGTCAAAGCCTCTGCCCAAGTGATTTCTTCTCTGTCCTCCCCCCCCTCCCATTTTTCTTCTCTCTCCCATCAGTGTCTCTGCTTGATTCATTCAAACACCTCAGGCTGATGTTTGCTTGGAGGGATGCATCAAGGTTTCAAGGAGCTCAGAGCTGCTTTGAGGCATCCCAGCAGTGCCTTACAGCAAAGATAGATGCCTAAATGCTGCTTCCAAGCAGGCTGGCACTGGTGGTCACTGGTGGATTCAGAGAACTTGAGGGAAATATCAGCAGCAAGTCTGCAGCCAAGAGTGAATGACTTGTCAAAAAGATTTGGACATGACAAGGAAGATGGATGCCAGGTACTTGCCCAAGGCAGATTTTCCAGCTGCGCTTGACCTTCGGGCAGGAGAGTTGGCTCAGACTGGGCCAGTTGGTTAGATGGAGAAGGAATATTTAAGAGGCCGAATGTGCTGGAGATTAAAAGGAGCTGGAAAAAAGGAGCCATGATATTGGCTTCCTCTCCAGTGTCAGCTGACTTAGCTTAGACATTATTTTGCAGTCCTTGTTGCTCCAAAAACTTCTTGTCTCCTGAGATTTGGAGCAACAAGAAAACCTTGATCCTACTGTTTTCTTTGGTTTAGCAAAATTCAGCAACCATGGCCTGACCTTCCCTTTTCCCCTTAAAATGTTATTTTGTGCAATTACTATAATAGCAATAGTAATAGAATTTAGACTTGTATACTGCCCCACAGTCCTTTACAGCACTCTCTGGGCAGTTTACAATGAAGAAGCATTATTTTCATATAGACCCCAACAATCTTGGTCCTCATTTTACCGACCTCGGAAGGAATGAAGACTGAGTCAACCTTCAGCAAGTCAGGATCGAACACCAGGCTGTGGACAGAATTAGCCTGCAGTACTACACTTTAACCACTCCTTGATTAGAATAGGCTAATCCTTGTCATTAGAATACACTATCCTTAGTCAACCAAAATGGGCAACTTTTAATAACCATAACCAAACAAATCACTTAGATCCAACAAAACGACCCCCAGGAATGCAATTGCCCCCCAAAATATGGAGCCATCCAAATAGAATCAGGACAGGCCATACCAGAACTAGGACCAAACTATTTAAGTGGGGAGTGGCCAGTGTGACTGTGGTGCACCAAAACAAACAATAACACATATCATTTGAAGATGTCTTCTCAGGAAATTTCAAGGCACCTGGGATGACCTCATCACAGCCACACCAGTAGCAGTTAGATGTTAAGGTTCTTTAGATATTGCACTATAACATCTGTCCTATTGTGACTCTATGGCGCCACATTATGGCAATTTTATCATGGTTTTACCCTAATTTAATATTTTATCTCATCTATTGTATTGTCCACACATTTTACGTACATGTATTTGCTGATGCCTTGTTTATATTTGTGTTTATATGTATAATGTGTTTTATCAGTGCTGTTGCGTGTCTTCTTTAGCTGCCATACACTAAATGAAATAAAAAATAAAAATCTTAGTTGTGAGACCAGAAGCCACAGATCTTAGGGACGATCACTTGTTTTTATCTGAAAGGAAGATTTTCCCCACCTCTTCCAATACAAGACAATGCTTCATTTCGATGGGCAGGGCAATCTTCAGCTTTTCAAGGCTGATGTCAACTCTTGGAGGTGGAGCAGATCACAAAACAGTCATGAAAGGATTCCAGGAATGCTCTTGATTGTAGTAAAGTAGAATAACAGAGTCTTAAAAGCCTGTCAAAGTTTCTCTCTTATGTTGAGTTTCTTTTGCACCACTTCCTTTTTCTCCAGATTTTCTCCCTCTAACAGCTCATTCATTCTCAAAGCTCAGCTCTAAATTCTTTTACAGCAGGTATATATTGCATTACTGGTTTCATAATTCACCCATTTCCATTGGGCTTAAGATATTTAAAAAAAAAAACCCACAGAAATCCTTTAAAAGAAGTAAAACATGGATGCATTTTGCTACTGTCTCTGCCGCAATGTTCTTAGACATTCCAATTTGGTCAACAGCTTTGATACTTCATGTCTCCCTTTCAAGTACTAATGAGATCCAGTATTGGACGGATTCTGGACCCAGATGACACTGGCTAGATATAAAGATTTGCCAAGATATCAGGGCCAAAGCCATAAAGTCACTCCACTTGAAGAAGACTTAACTAAGCAAGATTCATTTATTTAATGTTAGGCCATCTGGCTCCAGAATGAGTCCGAGCAGCTTACAACTTCAAAAGCAATAAGAAAAAAGAAAAGATCACATAAATCCAAACCACACTTCATATACTATAAACTAGAACAGCCACATATTTAAACAGAACATAGAATAATAGAGTTGGAAGGGACGTCCAACCCCCTGCTTGAGCAGGGGACCCTATATCATTTGAGACAAATCATTGTCCAATCTCTTTTTGAAAGCCTTCTGTGATGTAGCACCCACAACTTCTGAAGGCAAGCTATTTCCACTGGTTGATTGCTCTCACCATTAGGAAATTTCTTCTTATGAATGAAGGCAAATATACATGTCCTGGGATATTCTTGCAGGATCCAATCTGAGTCAGTCACTGGGATGAGAGGTTTAGTCTTCTGAGCTTTCAGATTCATGCAGGAGCCCATCTCCAAGGAACTTCTCTCTAAGCTAGAGAGAAGTTCCCTGAAGATGGGCTCCAACACAAGTCTGAAAGCTCGGAAGAAAAAAACCTCTGGTCCCAGTGACCAACCCAGATTGGATCCTGAAATTTCTCCTTAGTTCTAGGT